GATTCCTTTTTCGAGTAGGTAGATGGTTCTTAAGTACTTGCTCTTTCCAAAGATAAAACTTTTCGCACTTACAAAAACTTCTTTCAAACCCACAGACACAAAGAAAAGCAATTTTTGAAAACACTTTGAGCAAGTACCTAAGAGCCCGTGGATAACCACAGATAGAAAGGGTGCTAACACCTTCCCTTTCTATAATCTACCCCCCGGACCCGAGAAACATCTCGAAAAAGGAATTTTTCTGTGCTTTTTTCCTTTCCTTGTTGGATAAAATAAAAGACGGTGGTGACTCTTGCTTACCGTGACATTTTGCGAAAACAAACGCAAAATGCAAACCAGCATTCTAAAAACAGTCAGTTCTTCCCACCGTATCACAGAACTGGTGACTCTGCTAGGGACGCTTAATAAGTGGGGTGTACCTTAGGAATAGTTCATAATGTTTTCAATTGCTTGCTTTGTATGCTTTATATTTGTGGGCTTGTATCGGAGTTACTATAGATCCTAACCCGGATCTGGGGATATCCTTTAGGTAAGTAGCAATAAACTGTCAGGGAACTGTACGGTATAGACCGATACGGTTGAAGCAGTAGCTACGTTGGTGTGGCACTTTAGTATGTACCGATATCCCTTGTGGCGCAACAAGGAGAATATGGGTCTGCTAAGGGGTCATTAAGCACCAACTGACCTTAGAACCTTTAAATTGACCAACTTGGCCATATAACAGTAGCAGTATGCTACACTCATTGAGACCAAACTCTCGTGATGATTCCGGCTGCAAGAAAAGGTTGCTAAACTGGAATTATGACCGATCGAGGGTGGTCAGTGATATTGAGATCCTCTAGAAACTGGTTACTATTTCTAGGACAGGTTGAACCAACTAAACTGAAAGAGGGTAATACCTAAACTCCATGCCAGCCTAAACTTAAGGCTGTTTGTGTGACTTGTGTGCCTTCAAACTTGAACTACTTGCACATTCTTGTTATCTGACAACATGAGTTCCTTGCAGGTTTTCTTTACAGTCCTTATCAAATAATTTGGATTTATTGTAGGGTTCACTTACATCACCTCGCACTTTTTCTTAAACGCATAGCATACACATCATAACATCATGCCTTAACATTTCCTTAACCATTTCAGGGATCTTAAGGGTTTGTGATGCAGGTTATGGTAAATCAAATGTTTAGCAAGGGGCAAAGGGGATTTATTTTCTTCTAGCCAAGGTTGTCTAGAAATCAAAACACGATAACTTGAGTCAGGGGCTATGACCCACTCGATATGGTGAGCTTGACTCTTGAAGAAGGACTCTTAACAACATGAAGTTTCTTCAATCAAAGCTGCAAAATTCAAATTCTAACAAGTTTCTTGTTTACCCCGCGGGATCCTTGAAAACATTGCATACATACATATCATTGCATAACAGGTCTCCCAGTACAGGTCTCTCATGTTCTAGCTGTTTATTTCAACAATGGCTTTCCATCCAGACAACCAAGATCTTCAAACTCGAGAAGCTCAGTTCAGGGACGTATTCCTAAACCTATCCAAGGGGCAGGAAGAGTTGAAAACACTCCTCGTTGGGAACTTGGTCAAGAAAAGTCCTGAAGACAATAAGGACGAACGACTGGAACAACTGCAAGCTGAGTTCAGTGCCATGAAAACCCAGATGCTGGGGCAGATGGCTCTTATCCAAGTCTTAGCTCATGAACAAGAAGAGTTGAGAACCATTATCAACCAGCTTCATCAAGACAGATACAACAACATGAAGCAAACAGTCAAGGCCGGGGACCAAGTCATTAATCAACTTCCCAGAAGTCAAAGGTTTGGTTTGATGAAGAATAGACCTCTCCAAGTTGCTTCTACCTCACGGGTCCAACAACAACCTTGACATAAACAACGGGTTGATCAGAGTAAGCCAAATATGCCCAAGAGGCAATTTACCAAGCTCAACATGTCGCTGTCTCAGGCATTACAACATCTGTTGAGATTGAATCTGGTGACGTTAAGGGACCCTCCTAAGAATCCCAACATAGCCTCCCCAAGGTACAATCCTGATGCAAGGTGTGCATATCACTCCAACAGCCAGGGGCATGATATTAACATCTGTTGGGCGTTGAGCAACAAAATTCAAGACCTAATTGATGAAGGAGCATTGGAACTCACACAAGACGGTCAGATTGAATTCTTTTGCCATCCCCCCAAGGTTCACCATTTGAAGTGACAAGTACTGAGACGAGAAAACTTTTTGTTCATTAGAATTTTCAAGTTGTAATTTTCTTTTGATTGTTCGAACATTTATTCATGTAAAACTTTATTACTTTATCAATGCATTGCATATGTCTGTTTTGAATCAATCCATTCGTATTCACTATATTCAAATTGCTTTCATTTTTTGTGATGATCAACTCTCGATTAAAAAATTCTAAGCCTTTAGAGGGAGGATGACGAAAACGATATCAAAATCTCTACAGTATGCTTTTGAATAGACCCTGCTGACGAGGTACAGGCATTGTTTCAAATCCTAAACAGTGGAGTTATAAGGAAGATCATCCCTAATCAACCCCTTTGAGCCAAAGAAGTTGGAGTTTTTCTTTTCACAAATTAAAACCCTTAATTATAACCTGGGGCAGGGTAGTTTTCTCAGTTGATCCAGGTGCACAATAAATGGCATCAAAGAAGTCCTTCCGAAACAAAAGACGGTGTTGGTTCCGTATAATCGTAAGGACAGGCAGTCATTATCTCTCAATATAAGAGCCCAATAAGTCAAAACCTGTGAAGGAGACTTAAGAAAAACTGGGGCATCCCGCTGACTGTAATCACAAAAAGAAACAGTTCAGGAAAAAGACAGGGATAATAAAATCAAAAAGAAAGAGATCCTACAAACTCTCAACAAAAATGACTTCCTGTTCAAAATAAACTGTCAGTATCCGAACCATCACTGGAATATCAGAGCAAAGACTCAAACAGGATCTAAATGCACGGTTAGCTGAGTTTAGGATCGAAGAACATCACGAAGAGCGGGTGGGTACAAATAAATTTTGAGCCTTTATCCTTTGTTTCTTAAACCGTGAACCAGGCCACGTTATAACCCTTAAAAGTCCTATCTGAAGCATGGGTTAGTTCGAAAGCATACTGTTATAAAAGATATCCTGACTCCTATAGGGCTTGCTGTAAAATCTTGAGTTGACATCACATTTTACAAAAATTAGCTTGTTTTATTGAAAACTGCATTTTCAAAGAACTTCAAAGCAGACATAAGCTTTGCATTCTTAAAATAACATTGTTTGCATATGACTATTTGTTTAAACAACAGAGAAATTCGCACGACGAATATCTAGGGAACAAAAAACCTTCTCAATAAAAGGATCACCTCAAGTGGGAAAAACACCTCCAACCAAGGGGCACGGCATGAGCATTGTCCATCATCTGGGGCAGTTAAGTCAAGATTAAAGGAATCTCTCAAAATGCCAAATAGCCAGGGGCAAATCTCCATCTGAATCAATTGGGGCATTGGACATAAATTCCAGCAATGAATCTTGCATGATTAAACATATTCTGGTAGTATGGCAACACGACACTACTGACAGTGACAACTCCCTACATCCTGAGAGCGTGGACATAGTCAAAAAGTAATACGCATAATCAAAGACCCGCTAGGTTGACTGGCCTAGGCAAAAATAAGGGCTTTCCGGCGAACCAAAAGGGTTCGGGCAAAAATAAGGGATGAAAATGAAAAAATTTGTACACCCGACAAGTCGAAAACCTGAAAAGGCAGCTTGGGCAAAAAAGGGTATCCCGGTGGACTGAAAATCCGAAAGGGCGGTCCAGGAAAAAATTAGGGATAAAAGCGTACGACTATGTCCCGTCATCTTGTCACTAGTCTACCAGAAGAATACTTGTCACTTCAATCGAAAGTTACCAAGCACCTCATAGGTTGGGATAATACTCGATCCCCAAGGCCTCCGCAGGCACCTTCTCCCACAGAAACAGGAAAAAAAAGTCTCGATGCAAAGCCATCGTCATATCCTTAGCACACATCCCAGTAATATTCACTCCCCGCAGAGTAAGACAGTAATGGTAGCTCTCCCCCAGCTGAGACTTGCAACTATGAACGAATCAACAATGCTCTCCCCAAGCAGAGTTGATCTACCATCAACACTAAAAAGACTTGATATCCCCGGCAGTCTTAATATTCCCTAACAGAGTATAAGAATGATCCCCGGCAGAATACAAGATACCCCCAGTGGAGTCAATATTTCCCCAGCACGGTCTGAAAAAGCTTCCCCAACAGAGTTGAAGCATCATCCCCAGTAGACTCTGGAAGTTTATCCCCAGCGGAGTACAAAATAAATCTCCCCAGCCGAGTTCCAAGGATCGTTCCCAGCAGAATTCAGAGGATTATCCCCACAAAGGTTTAACAAGGTTTATCCCCATCAAGTTGCAACTGGAAGATTATCCCCAGCGGAGGCCTTTCCTTTCGCAAACAGGAATTCAATCCTGAACAGATTCAATATCACCAGGAACGATAATCCATCCCCAGTAGAGTTGATCAGTGGAAGCCTCAGCAGGGCGTCTCTTCCCCACAGAGTAATCTACTCACCAATTTATTCCCCAACGGAGTCATCTTCTCCTGCAGGTTTATTCTCGCTGTCACCTTCGTTCACCATCCCCAGCGGAAACGAAGAATTCAACTCTACTCTCCAGCAGCTATCCAGGATTTATTTTCCCCAGCTGAAACATTACATTTCCATACATCATGATACATACATATACGCATCATATAACACAATATCATTTATCTTGAGAACATCATTGCTTGATCCATATCATGAATTGCATATGACTGACTTTTACCTTTCAAGAAAGATGCAGTTAAGTTCTCAACTATGTGGAAGACCTCCTCTGGTTCAGTTAGATCGCCACGAAGATCTCCCTGATTCATATTCCAGTTGAAGTTATTCCAATACCTTTGTCTGGTCCAGTTAAATCGATTCCTAAAGAATTTTCTGATGCCGATCCAGTCAAAGTTGATCCAAGACCTCCTCCGGTTCAGTTTGATCGTCGCGAAGATCTCCCTGATTCGTATTCCAGTTGAAGTTATTCTAAGACCTTTTTCTGGTCCAGTTAAATCGATTCCTAAAGATTTTTCTGATGCCGATCCAGTCAATGTTAATCCAAGACCTCCTCTGGTTCAGTCAGATAGTTGCGAAGATCTCCATGATTCGTATTCTAGTTGAAGTTATTCCAAGACCTTTGTCTGGCCGAGTTAAATCAATTCCTAAAGATTTTTCTGATGCCGATTGTCATACCCCAATTTTTGACCTAAGATCCCATATTTATTTTTGCATTTTTAAACATAAGTCAAGGTCACGAAATACGGTCGGTTTTAACCTCTCACCTTCGAGCTTTGACTATGCGAAGATTGTCAAGTGTTTTGAACATTTTTAGCCTATGTATCACTAATTTCTAATCGCATACAAAGGTGTATGTTCATGTTTTCTTTTGTGTCATGTGCAGAGACAGGTCTGAATCAAGAGCATCAGGTGTTGCGCCTCAATTAAGGTTTTGAGTCTCCCAAGCCAGAAGTACGGTTGATTGTGGATTCTCGAAGACTGATTCATCAAGGCACAAATGTTGCATCCTAAATTTCGCCCCTAATATGTTTTAGTCGCACTTTCATATCATATTTTGTTATTTGGTCACAATCATTAGTAAATATCTTTATTCATCACATTTTGCATCATTAGTCGTATTTAAGTTGACCAGAAAAAGTCAGTTTAAATCAAAGTTTGCATCGTCTTTTAGTTAAAAAATACCTGGCATTTCACTTCATGCATTTTTATCTCTTTACTCGTTTCTTGCATTGCTCCAAGTTGTTTATATATTGATAATAAAAATATTTCGGTTTTATAGACAGATTGTTAAAAGCGATTCGATACTGTGCGGAAAATTAGCGAGAAAAATATTTCAAGTTTTCATCTTTTATCGATCATTTTATTAATCTGCGTTTCACGTAGATTATGACGGTATGCTCGCTTTATTTTTTCGGTACAGTTTGAAGTCTCATTTTTAACCGTAAACATCTGTTTTAGCCCGATATTTTTATGATTATTTTATTTTGATTTCGACTTTTTGAATATTTTTTCTTTAATCTTTGTGACATGTAGATTATTTTAATGTGTTCATTTTATTTTTTCGGATAAATTTTTGTCCGTTTTTTTATCGTTTTCGGTCATTTTGGGTCTTTATTTTTTATTCAGAAAAATTCAGAAAAAATTATTTTAAATTGAGTTAATTTTAATACATTTAGTTTTTTTGATTATTTTTATCATTTAAGGGCTATTTGGTCACAAAAATATATTATTTACACTATACTCTATTCCTATTGGTTGTTGGATGAAATTGCGGATCAATACAAAAATTGCCAAAAACAAAATTGAAAAATCCGAGCAATTTTCCTCTTTATTGTTCTATTTAATGGCTCTTTATTTTCTTTGTAAGGGGGACACACAAAAAACAAATAATAAACCAAGCTAACAACATCCTTTTTCAATTCATCCCATCTCTCCACGCCATACACACAGTAACCCTTTTAACCCATTTTTTCTTCATCCATTTCCATCACCACCCTTCTTTTCAATCACTCCCTCTTCTCTCTTTGACACACACCAAACAGTAAAAACAATTATCTCTCCTTCACCTTCTCACGCGAACAACAACCATTACCATCCGGTTATGATTCCGAAAATGGGAATGTAAGAACAGTTTGTTATACAAGAAGTTGCTTCTGCTGGATTGAAAAGCATGGAGCATTTCATTCGATTCAAACAGGTTATCAATTTGTCGAATCGTACCAGTCACGCTCATTTTCGTCGTGCACCTTCACAATCTCAATTGAAACATGGATCTGAGAAATTAAACCTTCATCTATCTCAGTAACCACACAACTCCCAGGACCGCCCTTCTATTCACATACCCATTGTCACCGTTTTTTTTATTTTGGTAAATATTATTTTCTATTTCAATCTTCTACTTCTTTGTGTTTTAATTATATGTTTTGAGTTATTTTAATTGAATTATAATAAATAATAATAGATAGATTCTATTTTATTTTTTTAGTAACAATAAGGTTTACGTTTGGTGAGTTAAGGGATGTTTAGTTTTATACTTTCAAAGAGTATCATTAATTAATTTTCTTATATCATTTGCTTAATTAATAATGCTGCTAGCTGCATTTACAATTTTGTTTTATAAATCGTGACACATATATACTCCCTCTGTACTAACCTTTTAACTTTTCTTTTAATATATATTTTATTTATTTTAATAACATCACATTAATTTAGATATTTTTATATATTCATTTTATCTTATTATTTTGGTTTTCTTTAAATGTAAATAATGTAAATTTTCATTTCATTTTTATCCTTCTCATACTACTAACGAGTTTGTTATTGTGAAGGTCTTCGAGAATTGTTTCCAACATTCATTCTCGCATATCATATCCATAATTTTTCTTCATTACCTTTTTATATGTTTTTTCTATTTCGATTTAATATTTAGTAAGGTAAATATATAATTGTACATAATACTTTTGATTTTATATTTTACTCACTTTACTTGTAAATAAAATCAGGTTATGTAAATATTTTTTTCTAATTAACTTTTGAAAATCGTACGAACGCATATAAGTTTCCCCGTGATGTTAAATTTGTCGGTATATCTCTTGTGATGCAGGGATTCTTATCTGATACCGTGAGCTTTATCCATCGCCTTTGCGCTTTATCTGATTCCTCCCCTGACACGCTTTTCTCGTATGTGATTTATTTTCACTTGATGCGCTTTATCTGATGCTTGGAGTATTATCTTACATCAGGTTTTTTGATGCTGTCGGCTTGTGATTTATTTTCACCCGAGGTTTGATATACTCTTAGCTTATTTATCTGTCAGTGGCTTTAAATCCAAGGGAAAGAATTAATTTGTTGACTTCATGTTATCGAGTATCTAATACGATTATGTGAAATCCCTTCATACTTTTTTTAGTTTTATTAATCTTAAGACGAATCTCCTACAAATCAATTTTTAAACTCACACCCCTTTTTAAGTCAAAACTTCGACATTAGGTTATCACATCTTGAAAATCTCGCCAACACCTATTTTTAGCCAAACGAACCATTTTAATCAAACAAACAATTTTAACCAAAAACATATATTTCAAAAGGTTCCTGTGGAGTACCGCAGATGCATTGGATGCTAATACCTTCCCATTGTATAACCAACCCCCGAACTCTCGATCTCTTTTAAAAACGCATTGTATTTTCGTTAATTTTAAATATTACTTAAATTGCATATTTTAGGGTTTTATTTTGCTCTTTTCCTTTTTTCCTTGGAAATAATAAAGCGCGGTGGCGACTCTTGCTTTTGTGAGTCAAGTTAATTAATAGCCTGATCTCTGAATTTCACCGCTACAGAATTGGCGACTCTGCTGGGGAAAGATTGACCTCTTGCTGGTCCATCCCTAAGTGGGTTAAGCCTAATTTGTTTTATCTGTTTTATCATTATTTGATTGTTCGATTATATGTATATATTATGATTATTTGGGTGTTGATAATATTTACAAAGGACAATTCCTATACCCGGACTAAGTTACACTTAGGAATAGGACGGGCGGTATAGTCATGTTAACTTTGAGGGAGTAATCCCGAAGAAGGAGGCATGAGATCCCCCACTCAGTGGAAGGCCCTTTTGAACGTAATATTTGTTTACCGAGTAATCGGGAAGACATTATTATTTTCGACCTGGGAGCCAGAGAAGCTGGGAACCGTAGAACCCTAACCTATCTTGGCCTTTTAGGTGTAGCACGAAGATTATAACGGAGTAATCCGGAAGTAATTGTTACGCGATGCTACGCTCGGATGAGTTTCTCTTGAGAATATTGCTGATTATTGAGTAATCAAGACGTTGGTAATATCCGAAGGAGGAATGTAGACTCCGGGAACTCTTAGAACCTTGTTCTACAGGTGTGATTAAACCGTTAGTACATACCTTGGGGGTGTTCCTTACCTTGACTCCATGCTCGTGACGTTGAACCTTTCGACTTTATTTGTGACCTTGCTTGTGGTTGTTGCATAGTGTTGTACCCCAAAATTTTCCCTCCCATATTCATCAAGAAATTACCAAGTCAAGGTCACAAAATTCCCCCAGGGTTGTGCAGCTCAACGGTCTCCTATACAGTCAAAACTAGGGTTTGAGTTCTGGTCAAGCAAATGAACTTTTCAAAGGCCCAATCAAGTCTCATATGCTTACAAAGATGGTCAAGTATCCTCATGTCAAGTTTCAAGGCATTCAGCTCAAAATTGCACAGTCAAAACCCTAGATTGCACTACAGTCAACTGTAGGGGCAAAATGGTCATTTGACAGTCAAAAGTTCAAATTTTTGGTCAACATATCATTTTGAAGCCACAAACATCATTTGATCAATGCTTGATCATGATTCTCAAAATTTGGCTCAGAAAATCATAAAGATGCAAAAGTTGCTATATTTGGACAGCTGAAAAAGTCAACTGAAATTGACCAGGGCATAACTTTCACATGGATTATCAGAAAAATTCCATCCAAAGCTCATTTTGAAGAGAAAGACATTTCCTACAACTCATCTTCATATTCCAAGTCCAAGAAATGCTCTCACAAAAAGTTATCAATTTCAACATTATAGGTCATTTTCAAAAGTCAACAAAAAGTGACTTTGAGTCAAAGGCCATAACTTGAGATTGGTAAATCAAAATGACATGGGACCAAAGGCATTGGTTAAAGGACTCAAAGACCTTTCCAAAATGTCCAAGAACATGTGAAAAGCTTAAAAATTGACCAAGTTATGCCTTGTGGAAGTTGGGAAATTTTTGGGAATTTTGAAAAGTCAACAATGGTTCAAATGACCTAAAAATGCAAATGGGCCCATTTTTCTTCCAAGTTTCTTCATGCCAAGCCTATGCACGACCACTAGGCCCAAAGGGAAGTATTTTCATATTTTTTAATTATTTATTTGAATTTATATTAATTTATATTCATTTAAATCATTTTAATACATGAAAAATATAAACCTAACCTAAATAAATCTTTTTGTGCATATTCAAGGTCCATATCTCGTGCTTAGCCAATTATGGAAGGTTTTGGTCTAATTGGAGGCAAATTGATACAAAATGCACATGATAAGATTCAAAAAAGATCCTTAAGCAAATCAAATCTTCAAACAATGAATTCAAAGGATTTTATTCAATCTTTTTGACCTAAATCGTTCCTTACAAGTACTAGAACATAACCCTAAGCCAAAGAGACTGCAAGCTGCGCATAAACAAGCCATTGCATACTGAAAATTTCTCTTAAAAACTCAAATCTGAAAAGTGCCTTAGAGGTCGATTAAAACCTCCAAACCTATTCCAAAAGCTTCAGTGGCAATTGCTGGACACATTCCAATCATTAACCTCAACGAAAGCACCCTGAATTGGTACCCCTAAGTCAAACCGTACCTCAAAATTCTTGAAATCGCATAGCATAAATTAAGCATTCTTTTGCATTTTTCTTTGTGGATTCTTGCTTATAATGAGTTTCTAGAGCTAACCATTACATTCAATTGCTTTTTCGTGCCATATATGCGTTTTCGCCATTGTCACATATTAGGGTTGCAGGTTTTCTAAATTGGGGCTTCTGTATAGAGGAAAAATCAGGACCCATGAATACCATGGTTGAACTCAGCGCTTAGAGACGAAGAAGAATGCATCCTCGCGCCCAATTTATGTTGAGAATGGAGCTATTCGCTATTTTCTTAAATCACCCCTAATGCAACGCTATAAAAACCGTGGCCATACGTTTATGTTTCAGAAAAAACGAAGAAGACAACCTCGTTGTCACCACGTGATAGGCTGGTTTGAAAATTCGCGCCAGATCGTCCACTAACACCATGTTTTACTTATTATATTTATTTGATATTATATGTTAAGTGACAAGCGCTTGGTCCAGTGGTGCACGTGATGGTTTGTAACATGAATGACCTGGGTTCGATCCCAGGTCTTCTTCCTTTCCAATATTATTTTTCCTTTATTAATCATATGCAGGCACACCTTCGTGGATCACCATATGTCCCCTCATCCTAGTGTACACATGTCTAATGGTCCCAGATCAAGGGCTGATATTGAAGGTCCACTATAAGGCAAGTCAATACGCTGGCACCCAAGCTGGAAAAGTCAACAAATCTCTGGCTTAATGGGCCAAAATTCCAGGCCTATACCTCCTGAATTGGGGCAACACCCCACTCTGGTTTGACAATTTAATTTCTTTTTCTTATATCTTTTAATTATTATTTTAATTGTTGTGTTTATTTTAATTATTGTTTATTTAATTTTTAATCAAAATATAAAAACATTCAAAAATTCAGAAAAGACCAAAAAATAATAAATATTAATATTATAATTATTTTCATAAATAAATGCTTGTAATTATTTAGTTTTAATTAGGTTATAAATTTAATTCTTTTTAATAACTAAAATGCAAAAAATATAGAATTAGGTTTAATAACTTTTTATTTTCTTTTCAATTTTCCCCTTTTTTTCAGAATAATAATATTATTTATTTATTTTTATAAATTAAAAATTGTACATAAATAAATTAGGGTTTAATTTAGATTATATTTTAATTCTTTCATAATAAACTTAAAAAACATTAGAATTAGGGTTTAGCATTTTAATCTTAATTAATTAATTCTTTTTCTTTTAAATCTTACAAAAACACAAAATACCAAAAAAAGCATTTAATCGTTTAATTTTTTAATTCTCATTAACTTTTAATTTTTTGCAAACGGGTCCAACGCCCATTGTTTAATCATTTAATTTCGCATGATTTATTTTTTATCGTTCATTGTAATTATGTAAATCTCCCAAAGCCATGTAACTTTACTTTTCGCACCTTATTTTTCCGCTTTATTTATTTCCCGCTAAATCGGGTCCGGTTTAATTTTGGCGATGTGGACCCGCGCCATTTGTAATAGCCTTAGATTTATTTTTTCGCAAACTTTATAACTGTTAAAAAGCATGCAAGAATGAATGTCTTAATTAAAATCAAGCGTAGATCACAACAAACATGACAAGACAAATAACTGAAACATGACACACAATTCGCACACAACACCCCTAGGGTACGCCTCACTGTTGCCTTTCGAAAGGTGATCGTCGAGTAGAGGACGTCTTAGTAAGTCCTCATGATCCGGGAACCTGGCATGAGGGTAGCTTCTAAGGTGTCTTCCCATTGCTCTGGTGATTACCATGTCCCTAAAACCGAATTGACCCGAACACCTCCAACGGTGGTGCTACCTACCTCTCAATGGTGGGATGGCACTACTTTAAAGGACATCTACACAGACGAATTCCTTAGGGTAGGTAGGTTCTCAAGGATACTTGCTCTAATTTCAAACAAATCAAAACATCTTTTCACCAACACATTTTCAAAAGCTTTCAAAAGCAAATTTTTCAAACACTCTGACGTACGAGTCGATCTGAAATTTTTCAAAGAAACTTTTTAAACCCACATTGAAAAGCAAACAAACAATTTTGAAAACACATTGAGCAAGTATCTAAGAGCCCATGGATAACCATGGATAGAAAGGGTGCTAATACCTTCCCTTTCTATAACCTACCTCCCGAACCGAGAGCAATCTCTTTAAGGAATTTTTCTGTGCTTTTGTCCTTTCCATTTGGAGAAAATAAAAGACGGTGGCGACTCTTGCTTCCGCGACATTTCGCGAACCAGCGTTAAACAGTCAGTTCCAGATCCACCGATCACAGAACTGGCGACTCTGCTGGGGACTTAACTTAAAGTGAGGTGTACCTTAGGGATAGTTCATAACTGTGTT